GTGTAATTCCAACTCAACTAACTGAACCTTTGCAGTACTCTAGAGTCCCCTTTCCTTCCTGTTCAAGAGTAACCATTATTCTGCTTTTGGTTAGTTTTGCCTGGTGTTGTTTTGGTACTTGGAGTTGAATCTACCACTGAGATATACCTGCCTAGCCCTTTTTATTTTTTATTTCAAGACAAAGTCTTGCTAAGTTGCTGAGGCTGGCTTTGAGCTTATAATCCTTCTGCCTTGGCCTCCTAAATTACTGGGTTTATAGGTGTGTACCACCAGGCCTGGCTAGTTTGCCTATTTAAAAAAAATTTGTGGAGATATAAATATATCATACAGTATATCTGTTTTATTTTGCTTATTATGTTTGAGCAGCTTATCCATAATATTGCACTTATTTTATCTTTTTTTAATTCCTCTTGTTTAATGGTATTATGTGTCTGTTTTATGGTTGCTGGACATTTAGGTGGTATCTGGTTGAACATGTTACTCATAGGGCTCCTACAAATATTTTATGTGTATCTTTTGGTGATGCTGTTACTCATAGGGCTCCTACAAATATTTTGTGTGTATCTTTGGTGATGATTTGTTTAGGGACTACCCAATAATTTAGGTTCAGCAGCCTTCTGGAGTGATGTTGGAATAGACTTCTCTGAAAGCAGAGGATCTGATTTTAAATAGAGCCAACTGAATTGCCTGCTTCCAGGGCATGTTCTAAGCATGCTCACTCATCAGGAACGGATGAAGATGTTTTCATAGGTTATTTGGGGATGTGGCCAGGTATCTGAATAATTTGGTGAGGCTGTTCCCTTGGCAGAGAAGGGTTTTGGGTCTGTGGTATAGGAAGGAATTACAAAGGGGAAGAGAAAAGAGATTCCGAAGGCAGATGTGTCTGGACCACCTTAGAAATTATCAGGACTTCTGCAAACAAGATCAAGAACCTGGGAAAGTGACAACCCAGGAGAAGACTCAACTTAATGAGACCTGGTGAATCTAAAGAGATGAACAGAGAAATAAAAATAGATTTGGTCAGGCAGGCTGGAGCTCAGAAGGAGCTCCCAAGGTGTTTCCTGTACAAATTCATTACTTTTGTTTTAAGGAAGCTTTGACAAAATAGTCCCTATAATCTAAATCTTTAGTTGAGCATAAACATAGCAAAATTATTGAATGGGGAAAAATGTATTTTTTTAAACAAATGGGGGATGTGAATATAGGGACTTTGCTGTGAGATTGTTCTACCTTCAAGCCCCAGCTCTTTCATCTTCTTGTCCTATGACCTCTCAAGTTTGGCTTCCTCATCTGTAAAATGTGACTGTTAATATGCCCACCTGTAAGTATCATGAATTTGCTGTGACAACTTATTGCAAAGGTGTCAGCAGCGTGTCTCTGGGCATATAGCAATAGCATTAAAATCACAGTTATCATTTTTAGTATTTTTCCCACTCTTATTTCTAATATCTGTATGACTCTGTATGGTGCTTTATAAGAATTTTCAGATACTTTTTAAAAAATATGAGACTCTTTGCTTCTTATGTATGGTGAATGCTAACTAATATATTTTTCTACTTGCCTTACCTTAAAATGAAACTTGGAGGAAGGATGAAGGAAACGTGTTGTTCTTGGTGTATCCTTCCGCAGGGTGAGCCAGTGCAGATGCTCTTGTTTGTCTGCTTTGCTTGGTTAGTTCAAGAAGAAGCCAGTGGGGCTGAGAATCAACAAGAAAGTAGGGCTATTTTACACAAAGGAAAAATTTAATTTTATGCATTATATTCCTCTAACTCATGCTGGCATTCTGTATATGAGTGTCCTAATGGATAAAGGTGCTTGGTGAAGCTCTGTGGGTGGCTGACTCTGAAGACCATGGCAACTTCAGAGTGTACGTTCTAGTTCCAGTTGACTGTGGTTGGTGACCTCTTGAGACCACTGTGGGTAAGGTCTGGACCAGTCCTGCGACTGTGGTATGTAGATGAAGATTGAGTTTGTCCTCAGTGAGACTGTCAGCTAACAAACGAATAACCCTATGTTTTAAAAAGCAGATTTGTAGAAATACTTAAGTCAAAGAGAACATTGACCCAAGACTCTGATTTTCTAGTTCTGGCTTCCCTACTGTCATTATTTAAACTTGCTGGGCGTCATTTCCTCATCTGTAAAATAAAGACGTTGGTTTTGGTTGAGACTTTGAAGCAGAGGCAGATTCTGTGAATCCCCTAAATGTAATCTCTAATTTGGGAGGTATTTATATAATTTGGGAGGTATTTATATTTTTCTACATGCTGGATTCTTTCACAGATATGTCCTATATCAGGAGTTCTTATGACACTAGATTGTGGTACTTACGACAGTAGGAGAAGTAGTATTAAGATAGGACTTAAGTTTACAAAATAGTTTCCACAAGCAGATAGAAAACCATATAACCATATAGTTAAGACTTTCTGAAGGCTCTGAGTATATGCAAATTCATTTTCACACTGATATTTACTTTAATCAGCTCTAACACACAATCAATTCATTAAAATGCACATATGTTTCTGTCTGAAATATGTAAATACATATATAAGATATTGCAATTGGACATGGCATATTTAGATTATGGAAGCTACTTTAGGACTCTGTATTTAAATTCTCAGTCCCCATACTGTCATTACAGTCAAGAATTTCCCAAATAAAAGTTGGGTTCGTTTTGTTATTTAGATGTTGAAGAAAATACTTATTCAAAAGCAATACTTAAAATTTAGAATTTAAGTTAAATATTAGATTAGTGGAATTAATAAAATAAAAATAAATAATAGTGTTCTCACTTAATTACTTTTAAGTTCTGAACTTTATTTTCTTTCATACAGAGGTATTTTCATGAAACTGATAGCAGGAACAATCATATAGGAAAGCAATTAAACAAAAAACTTCAAAATCTTTGTACTGTCAGTGTTCAGGTGTTCTAGCAACTGGCAAAAAGATGAAATATCATCTACCTTGGAGCATGTGCTTTTGAGGCTGGATGGACCCATGCACAGGAATGAGGTGGAGAACTTGTCTTGCTTTATCCCTGCCTGGTCTTCAGTAGGCTGAGGAAGGTTGTGGGATTGTGTAGTTAGTGCCTCACTCAGGCCCACCTTGTAGGCAGGCATCTAGCCCCTGGCTACGAAGATGATATGATAATATCATTTTCAAGGAAAAGCACCTGCCATAGCTCTGTCCATTTGTGCTCTTTTCTCTGTTGCAGTCTTTATTACTTTAATTATTACATGGGCTTGAATTTTCTATCTTTTGAGGGCCAAACATTCTTTATATTAAGCATTTTATACAAAAATTTCTGCAAATACAGGCTGAACATTCTCAATCTGAAATCCAAAATATTCCAATATCAAATATTTTGAGCATGGTACTTTCACATTTTGATATTTTTTAAAAATATATTTAGTTGTAGATGGATACAGTACCTTTATTTTATTTGTTTATCTTTTAAATATGTTGTGCTGAGGATCGAATCCAGGGCCTCACACTTGTGAGGCAAGTGCTCTACCACTGAGCCTCAACCCTAGTCCTCACATTTTGAATTTTGGAGCATTTTAGATTTTGCATTTTCAGACTAGGGATGCAGAATTGGTAAAGTCTACGCAAATATTCCAAAATCCTAAAAGCTTAAAAATCTGAAATTCATCTGATCTTAATGTTCAGGATAAAGGATACTCAATCTGTGTTTTTCTGAGATGGCAGTCTTATTTGAAATTGTGT